CATAGCTCATAATCACCAGTGTGTGAATGTGTGTGTGAATGGGTGAATGTTTGACTGTGTTGTGAAGCGCCTTGGGGGGTTGTAGATTCCTGAGAAGGCGCTATACAAGTACAGGCCATTTACCATTTGAAAAAGAAAAGTTATGCTAAGAAAATTTTTATTCCCTGTGTCAAACACGGTGGTGGCATTGTGATGGATGTTAACCCGTTTTGCTGTTCTCACTAATGAAACAAGTGAAGTAGTTAATATTTTTCTCATAAAAACAAAAACAAACAAAAAACTAGTTTCATTTCTAGGTAGGGAGCACCAGATATGGGGAATTGTGGCATCAACAAGTCATCTCCATGCCATGTTTTTCTTCAGCTGAGCAGCTAAACCAGGTGATTTCAGTCAGCACAGTGAATGAACCTGGTCCAGTTGTTGAGCAGAACAAAAACACGGCACGGAGATGGCTTGTTAATGCCACAGTTCCCATCTCTAAAGAGCACAGAACCCAACCTTACAAAGGTTTGAATTCTGTCAGGTAGAATTTAAGCCAAAATTTGGATTATGATGTTAGCAATTCAGCTACTGGACCTCCATGTCAAAATTTTCTGTTTGAAAATCAAATATTGTTAAGATGTATTTGTTAATGGCCTGTATTGGTGTAGCACCTTCTTAGGGTTCTACAACCCCCCAAGATGTTTCAGAACACAGTCAGTCATTCACCCATTCACACGCTGGTGGGGATGAGCTACGATGTAGCCACAGCTGCCCTGAGGCACACTGACAAAGACGAGGCCTTTCGAACACTGACGCCACCGGTCCCTCCGACCACCACCAGCAGGCAAGGCGGGTTAAGTATCTTGCCCAGGGACACAACAGCAGCATTCTCTGGTGGGAGCCAGGATCAAACCTGCAACCTAATGATTACTGGACAACCCGCTCTACCTCCTGAGCTACTGTTGTCCCTTTTTATGTTGGAAATTTATATTTTTTACAAATATTTGTGAAATTTTCAACACTACCATATATTTGCTTTTGTCTTCTTCAAATCCTAGTCCATGGTCAGTCGGATTCATCAGTTAGAATAAGGTGGAATGTTACCTCTGGGTCAGGAGTGAGTCTTTGCCTCTAGTGGAGGAGTGTGTTCTTCATAATTGATGGTAGGATGGAAACAGACCCTAACCCTTCAGCTGCAGGAAGGACGGTGCTGATCTCATCTGGTCTGTTGTGGTGAAAAAACAATTGAGCCAAAAGGCAAAGCTCCCAATTTACTGGTCCATCTGCATTCCAGTCTTCTTCTGTGGTCATGAGATGTTGATTGTGATGGAAAGGAAACAATGCCAAGAGGTTGAAATGAGCTTCCTTTGCAGGTGTCAGAATCACTGACATCCAAGAGAAGCTTGGAATAAAGGCCATGGCCCCTCCTCTTTGTTTGTTGTTTATGAATGTGACTCACGTATAGAAGGATCCCCTCAGACAGAACCCGAATTTGATGGAGAGGTTATATATCCTGTCTAGCCTGAACAAGGGTCATGGACGGGTTCTCTAAGGAGATCTAGAGGAGGGTGATTGGGAGAGGGATGTGAGCCAAACATAAATATGGTGACAGACAGATGGACTGGTATTCTAACCCTGGCAATAGTGTTGTTGCAAGCGGTAAAGAAAAATGCCTCTTCTGTTCTAATGTGAGTACAGAAATGTTGGACCGTCTTTGTGAAGTCAAAGAGCTGGAGACAGATGAGATGACTGGGGTGCTTTAGTGAACAGATGGTCTATTGGTCTTTACTGATTTCAGTCTTGTGGGAAAGTAAAGCCAATGCAGTGTTACACCAAAGTCAGCAGAAACAAGAAGTCACACTAAATGTGTGTGAGGCTAAGTGGGCACAACTTTTCAAACAAACTCTTCAAGCTTCACTCAGAGGCAGAAAAAGCGTCCGTACTCACAGATGATGTGTCAGTCTTTGTTCTCACAAGCTAGAGTCTTTCCGTCTGTCTTTCTAACACAAACTGCTGTGACAAGGCCGGTGTCATTATAAACATCTGAAAACAGCCAAGGCCTCTGTTGCCCCATTCAGCCAGTTGCCATGGTGAACGTGTAAAGATGTACAGGGCTGCATGTGCTTGTGTGACAACAGATAGCCTTGAAGTGGTGGATTGTAAAAGAACAATAGCGATATTTATTTGCAATGTCTCTGATCATGCTTGTATGTGTTTGTGCATATGTGTGTGTGTGTGTGGGGGGGGGGGGGGGGGGGAATAGCTGCAATTATCTTTTGCTCTTTTGTTTTATGCAAAAGGACAAAAATTAGCATAAAAATATGACTTCAGAGATAAGTCGCCATCGCATTTTGCAGACAAAGAACAAGGCCGGTCAGCTATAATTTTTTTCATCTCTGATTTTGTGCATTTTTGATGAAAAGTAAATGAATGAGGGATGTGGTTATTAGAAGTCTTTAAAAGCTGTGTGGGTTTAAAGTTGCAGTCAAGGTCAAAAGCTTAAAAGAATCTTCTGAATGTTCTGCAGATGAACACATGAAAGCCCACCTCACACACCTTTGTCAGCTCCAGAGGGAGGAGTGCACGGCTCCAGGAACTACACACACATCACTCAGTCACTCTTCAGTCTATAGACATGTCCCTCAGTTCACTGCTGCCAAATAAAAAAGAGAAGCTCAAAGGCAGGTGGAAGCCATTCACTTACTGATTAGCTTGATGCTCTGGGTAGAATCTGATATAGTTTTGCATTTTCAGAACATGAAGGTTTTTATTGATGTGAAAACTGGGGGGGGGGGGGGGGGGGCTTGTGCCTGAGGGGGTGCTACAAAACATCTGAGCATGTTTCATGACCTTTGACTTTGACTTATTAAAGCATCTTTCTCTTATACTTTGACTTATGGCAACCACAGCGGAGTTTTTATAGCGAGTGCATCAAAGTTCCAATGTTGTCATTAGGTTTTGCCACAAATAGGACTTTATAGATGAGGTAAACTAAAGCTGTAAATATTTCTTTGTCACCATCTAACCTATGTTGGAAATACCCTGAACAGCCTCCATGTGAAGAAATGGCATTTACTTCCAAAAGGACCGATGAGCTAGTCTGATCACAGAAAAAGAAAAAAAAATCTGCTATCTTTAAAACAGCTCTGATCTCTGAAATACTTTAGTGTCGCTTAGGCCTGCATACCGATTTGAACCAAAAACCAAAGTTTATTTTCATCATCATATGAATTTTCCATATACTGGTGAATAGCCCAGACATCGTCCAGACTGTTGTACCGTGGGAAAGTGTTTCAGCGAGGACCACTTTCACTGCAGCACACCAAAACCACAGCGTGTGTTAAAAGTGAGCATTTAGCATGTTAACCGCAAAGCTAGCATAGGTAGCTGGGCAAATTTACATCTTTAAATCTTCTGTCCCTCACTAGTCAACCTTTGGTGTGTATTTTTTATGATTGGGGTTTTTGGGGCGCATGCCGTCATGTAATGTTTATTTTTTTCTCTCATCCTTTAAATGCAACCCCTTTAAAGACTAAATGGCCCAATTATGTTATTTTCTCATTCAAAGCAGGTCTTGGTGAGAGGTCCTTTGTATTTGTGCTAAATACGCCACAAAGTGTGAGTAAAGCTCTCGGCTGTAGTCATTAGATGAAAGAAGAGGTTTGGAGTGCTGGCCTCCATTTCCATTTAAGAGGCTGGTGGGTTTGTGTGGATTATCTGGGGACTGAGCGTCAGCTTCGTTCATCACATAGCACAGGTGCACACCGGAGAGAGTGTGTGTGATTTACAGGTAGCTAACTGTGTGTGGGAAAAGTGTGTGAAAGTGTAAAAAGTGTAAAAATGTATTTTACTGTAGTGGATACTGGTACCATAGGGAGGAGTTTAAACGTTATATATATATATTTTTTTTCTCAAATGGTAAATGGCCTGTACCAGTCTAGTGCCTACGTATGGTTCGACAACCCCCCCCCCCCCAAGGCACTTCACAACAACACTGGTGACCGGTCCCTCTGACCACCACCAGCAAGCAATGTGGGTTAAGTGTCTTGCCCAAGGACACAACAGCAGCATTCTCTGGTGGGAGCCAGGATCAAACCTGCACCCTAATGAGAGATTGCAAAGCAATGGCTCAGTTGTGCAAAACCATTTAGTCACTTAAATGTCTCAATAATGTTTTATTTTTTCATTTAGTTTAAAGCAAGTCAACAAGCCTGCAGACCAGTGTAAAATGCCAAACTCCACTGCATAACAGAACACTATAATACTGATAACTTGAGTGGGTTGGGCTTTTGTAAGATTTGCTTGTATTTATGTTCATGTTTGTGAATTTTGGGAACCCACTGATTTTAAAAGCTAGTATTAGGCTTGTTAGTGTTATATTTGGAGTCTTCATCTTTTAGGCCTTTTCCCAGTAGATTAACTTTCTTTCATGTTGGGTTAAATGATCTGACTCCTTGACCTCTGATGCTCAATATTGGCTCTTTTTTTTTTTTTTACAGATATCTGATTTACAAATATTGTCTGACTTTTAATTTCCAGTACCGTAACATCCTGTGTCCCCCTCATTAAAAAGAAAAACTAAAACCTTTTAGATTATTACTATCACACATCTCCTAGCATGCTTAAATTTTAAACCTCTTCTGTGTTCATTCTGTACTTCAGTTTTAAATTAGTAATAAAGCATCGTGTTTAATTTGCCTCCCAACAGTAGCTGAATCTCATTCTCCCTAAGTGTGATGTTAAAATGTGTTTATTAGTTAGTCATGTATTTTTTTTATTATGTGTACTGTTTGTAAAAGTTGTCATTAAAGGACTGAAAGCGATTCCGATATTTTCCTATATAAAATTTTGATGCCGATATTGATGTCACAACCAAAAATATCGGACATACTTTTGATCTGTTTGTTTTGATGGTCTAACCATGCTTTGTGTCATCATGTGTGGTAAACCCAATATCTTTTTATCTGTCAGAGACACGGTTACAAGTGTTGCTGAACGCCTCCGTTTGTGTTTCACAGGTTACTACGGGAGAAGCTGCATTGACGCCTGCCACCTGAATCCATGTGAAAATGAGGCTCAGTGCCACAGGAAGCCAAGCTCATCCCACGGATACAGTTGTGACTGCGGAGACAATCATTATGGGCAATACTGCCAGCACAGGTACACTCACTCACTCACACACACACACACACACACTGAACTGAGCTCAAATGGTTTTAGACTTCAAAGAACATCTGAATTAAATGTTCTTGTGTGTGTGTGTGTGTGTGAGTGTGTGTGTGTGTGTGTGCGTGCGTGCGTGCGCGCACACGTGAGTGTCTCAGCTGTTCTCAGCACGCGCAAGTCACCTCGTTGATCCACATGTTCTGTTACGTGTAATTCACTGCGGGATAGGTTCAAGGGAAAGTCAGAAGACACACACACACACACACACACACACACACACACACACACACACACACACACACACACACACACAAGGTATTCTGTGTAGGATCACACTGTGCAAAGCCCGTGTGACTCTGACCTGACACCAGATTTCCTTCCTGCGGGTTAAATCCACTCATCTTTAGATTTATCTGATGACCTGCTGATTGTGAGTTTGTGTCTCTGATGTTCATCGTTGAACTTGTCAGTGTGTGTTTTGTGAAAGACACACTCTGTCAGCTACTGATACAATCAAAGGTGTTTGCAGATGTATTTTCCTCAAATCTCTGTTGCTGTAAAAACCTAAATATTTTCTTTTCTTTTATTTAAAAGTTTGGTTAATCTTGTTCAGTAAATTGTATTTCAGCTGAACATTCCCAAAGAGCTGGTCATGGTCTGCGTCTGCCCCCCTCCTTTTTGTGCCTCCTGGTATCCTCCATCCCTCTCTAGATTCCCTTTTGTGTCTCATAGCGCCCTCATGTTTCCTTGTCTTCATCTCAATCATGTGTCATGTTGTAACCTGTAAGATTATTCCTCCCAGGTCCCGTGTCATCTCATTCCTCCCCAGCCCCTCCAGGTCTTCATTCACATTCTGTGTCCTTATAGCCCCCAGCCTCTCAGTCCCCTGCTCAGTGTGGTGTGTGTGTGTGTGTGTGTGTGTGTGTGTGTGTGTGTGTGAGCGCGCGCTTGGCCTTTTCCCAGTTCTGTTTATAAGTGTCAGAGTTTGTGTGTGTGTGCTTGTCCTGTTTATATTAGTGCATTTGTGTGTGATGGTGTGTGTGTGTGTGTGTGTGTGTTAGTCCTTCCCGCAGACTTTAGGTTTAGTTTTGTGAATTAGAGTTTTTAGGTTTATTTGGCCCTCCTCAGATTCTGTTTTCCCATTTTGATAATTACATTCACCTGTCTTCCCTCCAGCCCTCACTCCACACTCCTGCTGCCAATTTCCCTAATTGACTCCTTCCTGTTATTTAAGCCCTGTCTTGTCTTTGTCTGGTGTCAGTCCATTGTATGTGTTTTGTATTATGTCAGTGCTTGCTCGTGCTCTTGGTGAGCTTGTTTTTCCAGCGTTGGAGTTGTGGACTTGAGGCTCGCTGCCTGGATTTATTTTTGTTTCCTCCACCAAATAAAGGGATTTTTACTTTACACCATCTCCTGCCTCGGGTCATCTTGGGTAATCTGCATTTTGGGTTCTAAACATCCCCACATCTTGACAACAAGTCAGTAATGAGCTGAATTCAAAATCAATCAATCACTACTTTATTAATCCCAGAGGGAAATTAGTTTCAGTACACACAATTCAGAGATCAGACATTCATGGGCAAGACACATGACAAGAATTGGTGACTGTGGTCATTCGCAACCTGAGTCGCACTACTTTAATGGAGATCAGAGGGTTGCATGAGGAATTGATTCGGGAGGAGGGGAAAAAAGGCTCTTCACAGCTACTCTCCCACCAGGAGGGCAGCTTTGCTTTGCAAAAAAACCACCTCAAACAGATATGCAACAGACTTCATACAACACAACATGAGGGTCCAATAGGAAGGGGGAGGGGGGTGGGTGGGTGGGTGGGGGGGGTGCTGGGATCCTATTTCTCCCAGCGAGAGCAGCCATCTACGGCACTCAGCCACTGTACAGTCACAGGTGGGAGGGAGATCTTGGGAGAAGTGCAGAGCACATTGACTCCTGCAGGTTGATGATCTCGCCAGGCTGAAGTCCACCAATCCGAAGGCGGGGGGGGGGGGGTTCACAGCATCTGTCTACATTCCTTCCTTCATGGGGGTTTGTAGCTGCTCAAGGCTGCTAGGGCGTCAGATTCAGATAACGAGACTTTGTTTGGGTCAGGCTGAGATAATTTTCCTCACTGCCTTCAGTCTTTAAACTGATCATTCCAGTCCTTCAGTGAAGCCAATTTGGGTTTTTAAACTTGTCCATACCGTTCGGTGACCCTCTCTGAGATGACATCCCTTTTGCGCACTAATACCGGTATCGCAGCTAGAACATTGTCCAGCCTCGAGTAGCGTCCCAGTCTGTGAAGTCTCCACACGGACGGTGCTTTCCGTGGGTGCGGGTCGCCCTCCAATCGCTCCCGTCTTCCCAAATTTCCAGAAAACCAGATATCCTCCCACTCCAATCAGGAGAAATCCAGTGATCATCAGGCCGAATATCCACACATCTGAAAAACGTGTTTTTCATTAGTAATTGTGGCCATAACAACATGTCACTTGACTAGCACCCTGAGAACAGCTGAGACAGTTTCTCCTTCGAAAGGGAATCTTACTAATTTTCAAGAAATGTGACGTATGATAAGTCATGAGTTTATGTAAAAATGACTGATTCAAGGACAGAAGGATCTATCAACAAAATAGAGAAACCAAGGATTGCTATGCTGGGAGGGTGACTTAATAGGCGGGCCATGTTTAGGTTGATGAGTGAATGAATTCAGATGAGAAAAGCTGAATGACAAGAGCTTAGGTAAACAACGGCTGAGATGCAGTGAGCTACCTACAAACCAGTAGCTAATACAGCTAAACTAACCTAAAAGTGATTGTAGACGTTGTTATTGAGAGATTATGTAAATACATAGAATTGCATGAAAATTTTCTTTGCATTATGCAAATTTGTTTTCCATGCATGTTGCAGAATTATTAAGTTAACAAAAAAATCAATAAATAAACAATGGGGTTACATTTGAATAGATTATTCTAAAAATAAAATTGTTGAAGATTAACCTAAGACACAGCAACTCAGTCTGCTCGGCTCTCGTGTCTGCAGAGGAGATGAGAAGAGATGGAAACTGTGGAGTTGTTCTGTTGAAGTTGTGATGAAAAGCAGTTGCTTTAACACTTTCTCTGTTGTGATGCGTCTTTCGTGTCTTTTTGCACATCTAGAATTGATCACCAGTGTCCTCGGGGTTGGTGGGGTTCTCCAACCTGTGGACCATGTCACTGTGATGCTAATAAAGGCTTCGACCCTGACTGTAACAAGACAAGTGGACAATGTTACTGCAAGGTAATCAGAGGAAAACACACACACACACACACACACACACACACACACACACACACACACACACACACACACACACACACACACAGCATATTTACAAAACATCTGATACAACATCAGACCAAGATTATTAAACTACATTTTAAAAAATGCACCATAGCTGTTCAAAGATGTATTTAACTTTTTCCAGATTCTTTGGCTCAAGGTTCACGTAAAATAATCTGTCAGGATTAAAGACCTTTAAAGGTGCAATATGCAAGAAAGAAGTAAGAATGACATCCTGTGGTCAAATTTGGTCACTGCATTTATGTTCTTACTGCTGTTCCGTGAGTTTCATGGCTGTTGCCAGTTATGGATAAGCAACAGGGAGCTCTTACTACACCTTTTATGGTAATATTTCTTTGGCATAGAAGGAAGTGTGGTTGTTTGCTGCCTTGCTGTTAGCCTGCTGTTATAGTTTTGAATGACTCATTAATGGAAGTAAAGCGTCACTATTGAGTCATTATTCACTTCACACTCACATTTTACTGGAACATTGATATCTGTTGGTAATTTAAAAAGTAGTTTGAGATTTTTTTTATAGCTGAGTATTTGCTTCTAATTTGACGTTAACATTTTTAGCTAAACGTTAGCTCAACATTAGCCTCTAGCTTTCTTCACCCATTAAAAAAAATAAAAGATGCTGTGGCTTCTTAGGGGTCCAAGGCATAACATGGGTCGCTCCCGTTTGCTGAAGTTTTTTCCTGCCAGTGTAAAATTACAAATGCTGCAGTAAATATGTCCCTCTTTTGTTTTTGTTTTTAGGGGAGAAAAACTGACAACCCCCCAGCCAGTTAGAAGGAAATCTGTTTAAGTGTAACCTTCCTTCAAACATGATTGAGACATAAGACTCTTCTGTGATTATTTCACTGCAGCATTCTTACATATTGCTACTTTAATTGTGTTTCGTTTCCTAACTAATCCAGACTTAGTAACTGCATCAACGTATCTGTCTTTTGTGTGTTTGTGTTAATAGGATGTTTAACCGAGATTTATCCGGGATTTAGTCTGTCTGATCTTCTTACTGTAATCCATAATCTCAATAACACTGACCTCAGATCTGACCCCAACACACACACACACACACACACACACACACACACACACACACACACACACACACACACACACACACATCCATATCAGCTGTAGAGGACGTGTTATTGACTTGGTTTGTTTCCAGCAGACTTGGAGCCCTCACAAAACCTGATACAATAAATCTGATCAATGTCTGAATTTTGCAGGGGTGGATCAGTTTCTATCAGAATCCATTCTTATCAAAGTGACACTTGTTTGTGCAGCAGATCCAATTTATACAGCTCTCACAGCCAATTTAACATTGGATTATTAATTAGCATTGTACTGCAAATGTTTTGGATGCACAGAGTTGGAGTGAAGTCAATGAAATCTTATCAATATTTAAACTTTCTCTGTTCAACAAGAAGACAATGAAAATGATCATCCATTCACAGATTTCAAAAGAGTCGAGAAAATTGCATTTTCATGTGAAAATCAAACTGTGAAGTATGGCTTGCTCTATGATAATCACCACTACCACAACGAACTTGACTTATATTACGTTGGTTTCCTCTAAATTATCTCTCTTTTGTCATTTGTTCAGTTTTTAAAACAGTTTGATTTTTACTGAGTTGACTTAATGCACCTGTCCATAAATACCGTACTTTTCTCTGGTCAGGAGTTTCACTACCGTCCTCGAGGCTCTGACAGCTGCCTGCAATGTGACTGCTACCCCGTGGGCTCCTTCACGAGGTCATGTGACCCCGAAACAGGCCAGTGTCAGTGCAGGTCAGGCGTAATTGGCCGACAGTGCAACGCATGTGACAACCCCTTTGCCGAAGTCACAAATTCAGGCTGCGAAGGTGAGAGGAATCAGTTGTTTGTTTTTGTTGCTGTGTTCAGAGAAATATCAGAAAACCTTTTGTTCATTTAATGATCATTTTTATTCTAAGACATTATTTGACCTTGCATGGGTGTTATTATATTTATCTGAGCATTCTGTGTTCTAATAAGGATGATTTAAATGAGCTTCCCTCTACAGTTATCTATGATGGCTGTCCAAAGACCATCACCCAGGGCATCTGGTGGCCTCGGACCAAGTTCAACCTGCCCGCTGCAGTCCCCTGCCCTAAGGGCTCCATCGGTGCATACAATCATTACCACGGTAGTACGTCCTGTACTTGTGAGCAGACATTTAAAGAATTTCTTGTTTTCTTCTCCAAACAGGCGCAGCCATCCGACACTGTGATGTGGAGAGAGGATGGCTGGAGCCGGATCTTTACAACTGCACCTCACCTCCGTTTGTGGAGCTCAGCGTTGCTGTATGTTGATCAAAAACAGAAATATATTGAGTTTGTCACTTTGAATAAGCTAGAAGCACCCACTCCTTCATATGTTTTCCTTCACCAACATCAGAGCCCTGATCTCACCCTCGCTGGTTGCCTCTCCTGGATGTGACTCCCCTCAGTTTTCAATGGATCACTTCGAGCCTATTTCTTTTTCTTTGCTCTCTGATCTGGTGGCAGGGATGAAGCCTTCTGGTTCTCTGACTGACGTGATGCCTCCGCATCTTCTTAAAGAGGTTTTTCCTGTGGTTGGACACTTTATTTTAAAAATTGTGAATGGGAGTTTATCCTCTGGAGTTGTCCCCTAGGCTTTCAAACAGGCTGAGGTCCAGCCAGTTTTGAAGAAAGCTGGTTTGGACTCTACCTCCCTGGAAAACTTCCGCCCCATCTCAAAGCTTCCATTTTTATCTAAGCTTCTCGAGAAAGTTGTTTTTACACAGCTCTCTGACCATTTGCAGACTTTTAACATTTTAGACCCTTTGCAATCAGGGTTCCGTCTCGGTCATAGTACTGAGACTGCCCTGCTTAGCGTTTGCGGTCCACTGATTCCGGCTCCCATGTTCTACTGGTGTTGCTGGATCTCACAGCTGCTTTTGACACCGTAGACCATGCTATACTTCTGTCCCGACTGAACCAGGTAGTGGGCATCCAGGGAACTGCCCTGAACTGGTTCAGATTGTACCTCAACAACAGAAGTTTTTGTGTGAGGCTGGGGGATTTTGCCTCTGAAGCCTCCTCTCTGCCCTGTGGTGTTCCCCAAGGCTCAATTTGAGGACCTCTGCTTTTTAATCTTTACATTCTTCCTCTGGCAGCTATTTTTAGGTGGCATGGTGTGTCTTATCATTTGTATGATGATGACTGCCAATTTTATATTTCATGAAAACCTCAAGAGCCGGTGTAACCGGCTGTGGATTGCCTGAAAGAGGTGAAGGGCTGGCTTTATAATAACTTTTTACATTTGAACGAGTCTAAGTTGGAGGCTCTTTTATTTGTTCCTCTCTCTCCCACTGCAGTTAGTCCTGTCCTGCCACCCAGTTTTCGCAGCTTAGTGAAGCCAACCATCACTAACCTGGGGGTGGTTTTGGACCCAGAGCTGCAGATGGACTCCCACATTAGCCAGGTGGTTAGATCCTGCTTTTTCCAGCTTCGCCGGCTATCAAAGATGAAGTCCATCCTGACTAGACGTGACCTGCACACAGTGATCGATGCATTTGTGATATCTTGGATTATGCAAATTCCCTTTGTTATGGATTCACATCTTCCTCGGTTGCGCACCTACAGCTGTTGCAGAATGTGGCGGCCCGCCGTTTGATGGACACCAGACGGAGGGAGCATAATACTCTGGTTCTGTCCCAGCTGCGCTGGCTTCCAGTGCATTACCACATCCAGTTTAAAATTTTACTTCTTGTTTTTAAGTCACTCTATCTTTATGTGCCTCTCTACTTGATTCAGCTGGTTCAGCCTTATGTACCTGGTTGAATTCTTCGATCAGCAGACCACCGTCTGTTACAGGTCCCAAGTGATCGGGTGAGGACGCGAGGAGAATGAGTGCTCTCAATCTGTGCGCCTCGTCTCTGGAACTAACTCCCCCTAGCAGTGAGAATGGCCCCCTCTCTCTGTGATTTTAAATCACGCCTGAAGGCTCCTTTTTATTCCTTGGTTTTTACTTCAGCCTAGCTGGCATTTTATGATTTTTGTTTTATTTTGTTTTTATAGTAGTTACTGTACAACTTTTTGTTACTTCTTCCCATGGTTTGATTTTATGCTCTTTTACTGTACAGCACTTTGGTTGGCCTCAGCCATGCAGAAATGTGCTTTATAAATAAAATGGAATGGAATGTTAGTATCATCATGTTTAATCTCTTTAACGTATACTTTTTCTGTTTTACTGTGTAGCTGGATTCTCTGGAGCGTAACGAGACAGAACTGTACACCATCCTGGAGAAGAAGCTTGCTCACCAGCTTCGGGATGTTACCGAAGCCACTGGCCGTCTCTATGGGAACGACTTACAGATAGCTGAGCGACTCCTCTCCCGCCTACTAACCTTTGAAACCCAGCAGAGTGGTTTCGGACTCACAGCCACTCAGGATGCACACTTTAATGAGGTAAACACACAGAAGTTCCTCAATGACGAACATCAACATTAAAGTTAAAAGTTAAAGTCCCATCAATTGTCACACACACTGATGTGTGTGCGAAATTTGTTCTCCGCATTTGACCCATCCCCTGGGGGAGCGGTGAGCTGCAGATACAGCCGCGCTCGGAAACCATTTGGTGGTTTAACCCCCCAATCCAACCCCTTAATGCTGAGTGTCAAGCAGGGAGGCATTGGGTCCCATTTCTTTCAAAGTCTTTGGTATGACCCGACCAGGAATTGAACCCTGATCTCCCAGTCTCTGGGCGGACACTCTACCGCTAGGCCACTGAGCTGGAGAAAAATAGATGTTTCCAACTTTTTCATCCGACTCCATAAGACTCCAAATGTCTGAAGCTCTTCGCTGATGTGGCTAATTTCTACTTCCTGAAACAGGCACACGGGAGCTTTGTTTTCCCCAGAGTATGACTTACAAGGCACATTTCGACTAGAGACCACCGCAGATGTATTGATTAAACTAGTGATCCTCACCTTTAAGCAACAGGAAATCCGCACACATCTTTTATGTTGAAGCTGCCTGATGCTTTATTCCGCTCCTCCTGTCTGACCAGGTCCTGACTGCTGAGCTTGACAAGTTCTTGAAGCTTAATGTGTAAGAAACAGAACCAAAGAGTACATTTAGGAGAGAAAAAATACTCAACCAAAATCAACTAAAATGGCAACTTTGACAATTACAATTTGTGAACCTCACATGATGCTAACTCACATGGTAGAAAGCTGGGGTTACTCACCCAACTTATGTAAAATTTAAAACTCACTTTGAGAAAAAAATAACAAATAAAACACTAATTTCAATGTTTTAGGTTATAAATCATTAGCAGTTATGTTGCTGTAATTACCAGTTAATTAAAAGCAAACGCAGAGAAACAGATGTGTGTGAAAGATAATAATCAGTTTGCTCGGCTGATTTTGACAGCCTGATGTTATGAAACTCACCATTTTATTAATTGGAAATCTTAATTTGTGTTTGCTAACAAAAAAATAGCTTAACAAGCTTATTTACAATTATAAAAATACATATTAAATAGGTTATCTGCCACAATAATTCAGTTTTTAGGTTTAACTTCTTTAATATGGTAAATAAGTTTTTGTTTGAATAAATAAAACTAATTTAAAGGCTCACAGCTACAAACATCCCCCTGTAAAATAGCTGCTGTTACTGAGGTCTAACAGAAGAGTAAAGACTCCCTGACAAGGTATTACAATAATATGTCTGCTGTGTCTGAAATAGGGGCGACGGTGGCACAGGAGTTAAGTGCTCGCCCCGTAATCGGAAGGTTGCTGGTTCGAGTCCCGCTCAGTCTGTCGCTGTCGTTGTGTCCTTGGGCAAGACACTTAACCCACGTTGCCTGCTGGTGGTGGTCGGAGGGACTCGTGGCGCCAGTGCTCGGCAGCCTCGCCTCTGTCAGTGCGCCCCAGGGCAGCTGTGGCTACATTGTAGCTCATCCCCACCAGTGTGTGAATGTGTGTGTGAATGGGTGAATGACTGATTGTGTTGTAAAGCGCCTTGGGGGGTTTCAGGACTCTAGAAGGCGCTATATCAAATACAGGAAGTGCTGGAGCTGTGGGACGGTGGTGACAGAAACGTATGAGATATTGCTACATGTGGTCTCAGTCGGCGCGTTAAACCACACAATCTAATTTTTCCTGCTGCTGTACCTTCAGCGTAGAGGATACAAGCTGACATGAAAATCATTTTAGAAAGATGATGTTTAAATAAAGTAGTTTTTCCCATTAATTTTTCAAGAATCAACATCCAATTTATCTATGAGAAAGTGTTGAATGTATGAATGAAACATCTAAGTAATACAGGTGGAAGAAAAACATTTCCTACATTTCCTGCTGTGTGGCAACAAGGGCATGGGAATGAAACCGTCATGATGTTGAAATTAAAGTAATTTCAGACTTTTTGGTTTTGTCATTTAAACATGTTGCTGGTGTAGTTTTCATCATATTTTGCTATCACACTCTAAGAAACACAATTATGAATTTAGTTAAAGGTCAACTTCACTAAAAATGTTTTTTAATGATTATTTATGATTATAATGGGTAACTCTGCGTTTTCATGCAGGCTGAACATAAAAATAGTCTCCTACATGTATTAGCTTCTGATAGAAAATAGACAGTGAGCCATGATTTTAAAATCCTGACAGATCTATGTCACACTGTCACTTAACATTCATGATCTAACCCATCTTGACTGTTACGACCTCACCCTGGTCTAGGATCCTGGGAGGCCTAACACAGAAACAGGAGTATGAATAATCAACGTTCCGACCCCAAGGTTTTCCCATGCAGGTTGAATCTTAAACCATCCGGGGGCAACTATGAATTCCGAAAGTTCTCAAAGACAAGTCTCTCTCTCATTAATCCTCTCCAATCCTCTCCTTCAGTCCTCCCCGCCATTCAGTGCAGCGCTGATTTTATCTGCTCCAGCCGGGGGATTCCCTGATGCGAATCAGCTGCGCGAGTGTGGCTGGGCGCTCTCCAGGGTGCTGACCATGGTGCTGAAACGGAGCAGAGTAGAAGCCGGGCGCTGGGGAACTCAGGGCTCGTAACATTGACTCACGACAGGGGAGGCTGTTGTCGGGTCAGCATCCAGGAAACAGCAGAGAGCGTCTCGGCTAGTAGAAGCTAACCATTAGCATTAGCAACAACTCAAAAACACAGTAGAACTCCTTCAGACTTGTGTTATTTGTGGAAATAAAACATAATTATTGCAAAGCAAACAGAGTCTTTTTGCTGTTTGCCAATCAGAGGCAATATGTCCAAATATCAAGAAATAAGACTCCAATCCCATCATCTGAAGCTCAACTGATCTGGCTCACTTCTAGTTCCTGAAACCGGCGCATCGGAGCTTTTTTCCCCAGAATACGACTTTGTACTAGAGACCACTGCAAATTTATTAAAAACACAAGTAAATTTATCTTTAACCAAGTTCTGTCAACTTCCACTAAACCTTGCTGCTCAAACTTAAAGCATAATAGATGTTTAGTTTTAACATGACAACGTATAAAAATGAACATTATATGTTCAGTGGAAACAGTGGACATATCGTGGTTAAGTAAATTCAGCCTTTTATTTTTACAGTGTAGTTCTAGGTAGTTAGGGCGGTTTTAGTTGCTGTATTGGTGGATTTTTGCAAACGATAATCCCGCACTACCTGATTATGTTCCTCTTCATCTTTAGCTGAGCATCACCCAGGGAGTAATTTATTCATATTAGTAAGCAGCATAGCGTGAGACTAAAAAGGAAACTTTTTCTAATACACAGACGGTGGTATGAGAGAGAAAGTAATTAGTTTCTGCTAGAAATGAAGACTATCCAGTCACTGACAGCTGAAGCAGCAGTAGCCACAGCCTGCAGAGTCAACACAGACTAGGGAACAGCAGGAACGGAGAGGTTGTAAATGTTAATCAGAAAGTCTGAGACAAACGTACTCAAATGTGTCTGACTGCTCAGCTTCCTTTATTATTGCATCTATTAATACAATAATTTTGGTGTGGTCATTCTGTTTTGAGTGTATTGATTCATCATTACATTATTTACCCTTTTTCTGGAAAATTTGAGGCCAAAATGTTAGAAACGGTCAAATAGTCGAATTAAATGCACACTTGTTGCACACACAGATACACATTCTGATATTAAGGTTATGTTGTATTGTAATAGTACTGCCCATCATTGTTTTCTTTTTTATAAAAGACAAAACAGCATTTTAAATCCTATGTGCATACCAGATTAGAAAAAAAAGCCAATGCACTGCATTTATTTTCTGGCACAGGTGGTTTCTATGGCAACCCATCAGCAGAATAAATTATCTTATCCTGACTTAAATAAAGCCCATTTCCTGGCTGGTTTGTAATTTAACCCACCAGTAAATCAGGGGTTTACTGTTTGACCAGCTGGTTAATTGTTGTTATAAAGCTGCTTTAATTCACCACAGTGGTGCTTTATTATATTTTATTATTGTCATTTTGGTCAATTCCACAACGAAAGCCTCAGCTCTCTTGCTGCACATAACCTCAACCTGTAGCTGCAAAAGAGTGCCTCTGTCTCTGTCGCATCCTTTCAAGTTAACAAGTTGGCGTCTCTGAAGCAGAGCCACAGACAGCTCGGTTTCTTTCCTCAGAAGGAAAATGTAAGAATATTTATCTGACACCCCGCTTTTAAACAGCAGCTATCTGGTTAGATGAGCAGGTATTGCAGAACACAGTTACTATAGTAACCCTGTGGCGATGAGAGCCTTTGTCGCTGCGGGAACGACGAACGAAGGAAAGGAGGAAAGTCTGTTTTTTTAACTACAGACATTTGAAGCTGATTGAAAGAAGATGGGAAACATTTATTGTTCAAATCTTCCTGAAGTAAATGTATACACTGTAAGAAATAAAATGTTGAGTTTACTTCATGTGAATTATTTATTTATTTATAAAGCACCTTACTACCACCAACTAAAATCACCCAAAGTGCAGTGCATGATAAAAGCATAGCTCATATAGCCTACATTAAAATTACAGACAACAGTAAGACCATACTAAAACTAAACATCACAAGACACGAAAAACAATAAAACAATACAATCAAAATGCACATAATGCCTAAAAACAATATAAATAAATAAAACATTCCAAGAATGTTTACTTAACAAAGTTATGTCAACTGGTTCCACTAAACTAGAGTGGCTTGAATGTAAATACATTATTTTATGTGTAATTTAATGTAAATGACTCTTTGATTTGTGGCACTATGTATTATTAATTAATTTTTTTTGGTTCCACCCTGCTTTTGTTTTAGGGGTGCAGGAATTATTGTGACACCCTGTAGCAGAGAATGAACCTAAATTTATACAAGAACAAAAGTGTTAACAAGACATTTAACCTCCTAGATTATGAGTCACTGTTATAAACTGATGCTCAACATCCTCAAATTAAATTCTCCAACAGTATTTTCTCTCCTCCAGACATTAATTATGTGGCGAATGTCTTCCATCTTGTGACGGTTCTGTGTCCGTCTATCTTTCACCTCTTTTGTTCTTTTTCTCCTTTTTCCTTTTCTGTCTAATTCCCTGAACATTTTCCAGCCTTTTTCTCATGCAGCGATGTATGTAATCGTCCTTGTGTCATGATCTGCCCCGGCCTCCCTGACTGTGTCGCTCCTGCCTTAATTAGTCCTATTGTTCTCACCTGCCCCTCGTTAATACGCCCATGTGTTCCTAATTCTCCCTGTGTATTTATACCTCCCGTCTTGTACCTGTCTTCGTTGGATCATTGAATGTGCATGTCCGCGATTTGTCCTGTCGCGCCTGGTTGCTATTAAATCCATTTTTATGTTTCATCCGTGCCTGCTCTCCTGCCTCCTGGACCCTCCACCACACATGGTCTGCCATCTCCACCCTCACCTCATGACACCTTGTTTGTTTGAAGGTTGCCTTGTGTTTTTTTCTCCCAGGAGCCTGAAATGACACTGTAGTGTTTTATTGCTTCTTGCTAGTGTAACTATAAGAGTCATGATCTGTTGATATTAACTTGTTGATCTGAGGACATTGTATGGTTTTTAACTCTAGCGCCTCTAACAGGCTTCCATCTCAATTGTTCCCAGACAGTCGGCGCAGACGCTGGTGAAACCAGCTCTAACTGGGTTTGGGACTCGTCTGGTTTGACATTTAGCTTTCTTTTCTCTGTTAACCGTACACAGCTGAGCAACTCTCTACTTTATACTGAGGTTAGCGCCAACAGGATCAGTTTCAAACTCAAATGTTAACTTTTTTCTGTCTGTATCTGTCTTTAATCATAGAACACGTGTGTGTTGGGTTTGTCATACACTGAAAATACCATCTCGTTGCTACTACTCGAAAAAAATGAAAGCAACATTTACTAAGAATTTTTTGTAAGTCAACTCAATATGAAACTGGAGTTGGGAATATTTCATGATCACTTTCACTGTGGTATAAAACATAAGAGTTCTACAGGAAATAGCCCAAAAAATAAATGAAATATGTAAAACATGCATCATAAAATTATTTTAAAAATTGGAAATATAATTAAATGTGGGGTCAGGGATGAGGTCCTGCCCCAAGTGGAGGAGTTTAAGTATCTCGGGGTCTTGTTCACGAGTGAGGGAAAACTGGAGAGTGAGATCGATAGGCGGATTGGTGCTGCATCTGCAATGATGCGGGCATTGTACCGGTCTGACGTGGTGAAGAGAGAGCTGAGTCAGAAGGTGAAGCTCTCAATTTACCGGTCGATCTACGTTCCTACCCTCACCTATGGTCATGAGCTTTGGGTAGTGACTGAAGGAACGAGATCGCGGATACAAGCGGCCGAAATGAGTTTTCTTTGAAGAGTGGCTGGGCTCTCCCTTAGAGATAGGGTGAGAAGCTTGGTCATCCGGGAGGGGCTCGGAGTAGACCCGCTGCTTCTCCACATCGAGAGGAACCAGTTGAGGTGGCTCGGGCATCTGGTCAGGATGCCTCCTGGACGCCTCCCTGGTGAGGTTTTCCGGGCACGTCCAACTGGTAGGAGACCTAAAGGTAGACCCAGGACACGCTGGAGGGACTATGTCTCTCACCTGGCCAACGAACGCCTTGGGATTCCCCCAGAGGAGCTGGCCCAAGTGGCTTGGGAGAGGGAAGTCTGGGCCTCTCACCTTAGGCTACTGCCCCCACGGCCCGACTCCGGATGAAAATGGATGGATGAATAATTAAATCTAAATGATCTACTCAATTTTTACTTTTTCTTCTGAACCAACCTTTTTTATTTGATACTTTAAGAGGTAAATACTCAGAAATGCCGTGAATTTGGTAAAAGTGTTTCAACATTTATTATTCCATTGCCCATCATTAGTAGAAACATATATTCGCATTCAAGTATTTTGGACTTCAGTGACTAGTAGGTCTTGGAACATCTTTACATAGGCCTCAGTCTTTAGATGGAATCCCTACTTTACATTTACTCCACTGTAAACGCAAGAGTAGACCCACCAATGTGTAGTGGGTCAAACTGGTTTTACGTTCACATTTGAAAAGATCAGCTGGTTTCATTAACCCCGTGCAGACCATTGTTACTAATTTGCATGAAACCACTTTAAATGTGCCAAATTAGGACAATGAGTGTGTCATCCGACACAAAACAAACCTTTATCACAATATTTTCATCTTTCATTCATTTTCATCTTCTTATAGAAATTGCTGTTTTCCTTTCCTAATTATTATTTTTTTAATGTAAATAATACACGAGGAAGAGATGCTCACTGTGGTCATTTGAGAGCTGCAGCTCCACTTCTCAGCTGTGGTTTCCTGGTCTTCCAGGTGTAAATCAGTCCTAATTGGTTGCCAGATATGCAAATCAGCACGGTCTGCATCTAAGTGAGCTGGGTTTAAAAACACTACTGCAACAGCACAATTGCTGCAGGAAGCTATGATGTATGACTGAAGTATTAAAATGAAACATTTTGATTGCAAGAGAACTGTCACCAGAACAAGATCAAGCCACACTTTCCTTGCTGATGCTAAAATGTGCACATAAAATGTGTGGTTCTTTGTTTATTGCCTAATCTCTACTGATTCCAGAACATCCTGCGAGGCTGCAGTGTGCTGATGGGTCCCGGTACCTCTGGACTGTGGCGAGCCCTCGCTCAGAGTCAGAACCACATCCTGGGTGGTGGTCCGGCTGAGCTGACAGAGCTGCTGGAGCAGTACTCCAAGAATCTGGCCCAGAACATGAAGCTTACCTATCTCAACCCAGTGGCCTTGGTCTCACCTAATATAGGTGAGTCTAGAATGATCACACAGATGCAAACGCCGCTCAGAACGAGGCAGCAGTAAAATCCTGATCGTCACAGCGAATTAGCTTTGGTTTTCTCATAAAACTGCAAATCTCAGCTGTGAAATCCACTTGAATGATTCATTATGAATTAAGGGAATGAGCAACGATAATGCAAACGATGGTGGCAGAGCCTGAGAGTTGGCAGGAAAACAAAACGGTGAATTTCACACTCCCACACAAGCAACACAGAGCTTTGAGCACATACAGAAATACCTTGAGGAGCTGCAGCGCTGGTCTGCACACACCATTTAGGGCAACAGATGCCAAAACGTACACACACACACACACACACACACACACACACACACACGACAAAAGCAGTTCACTAACCACACACCCATAGAGCAAACATGAAATTATCTTGTCTATCTCCGCCAAAGTCAACCAGTTGCCTTAAGTCTACTTTCCTGTCATCTTTTTTCTTCATTGACTGCCTTTTCCTCCCTTTTTTCTTAATTTGTGTCCATCTTTACAAACAAGACGGACACAAATTTCTCACTCCTACACGCTCATGCAGATTTTTGCTGCCCTCAGTTTAACGGAAGAAGAAAAATAACTTAAAGAAGAGAGAAACCCATCTGTTAGCTTCCAGTTTGTTTCTTTTCGGGGATGTTGTTTGAATTGTTTAACTATCTATTAAGCATTTACTTTACATTTTTTAATTTAACACGATTGTGATCCGATTTAAATAGACTTAAATAGAATAATGTGTTTTTATACATTTCTGTTATTATTGGACACTCCATGTTTCTCCTTTTGTTTGCCACTTCATTTCTTTTGTATGTGTCTGTGTGTTTATTGATTGTGCACAAACCTTTTCAACGCAAATCCGAAGGGAGGAAAAAGGTTTGACGCAGAAAAGCATAGAATTGACCTTTATATTTAATATTTGGTTGTATTCTGTTTCTAGTTGGTGTAAAATACTCAGACTAACTCTGGAAAAACCATTTTCTGCATTACAGCAAGCTGATGTTGGTGGGATTTGGACAACTTCTGTGTCCGCTGAGCTGCATTCTTAATATAATAATAATCTGAGACAATAAATTATTTCTACATAAATAATAATAAAATAAATCTCAACTAGTGGACCTGAGTAGAGGTTTTTGGCTTAATTTACGTGCAAAAGTTGCAGCTAATAACAATAAACTTGCAGCTAATAACAATAAACTTGCAGCTAATAACAATAAACTTGCAGCTAATAACAATAAACTTGAAAACCTGAAGTAAAAGGTGATAACATAAAACATTAAAACCAAATGTATTAATTAAAAAGAAAACAAGTGTAACGGCAATGTGGACTTGTGACTTTTATAAAATGTTATTCTGGAGCTAGTTGGTGCATTTTATTAACTTTTTTCAAAAATCAACCACTTGATTTTCTTTAAAGAGGACATGTTATTTTGCATTCTTTTTCGTTATGGGTCTCTACTGCTTCTATAAACACTCCAAACATGAAAAAATAATCCATTCATCTGTTTTCTGCCAGTGTTTGGGTTCAGGAATTATGGGCCTGAATCAAGCATTTTGAGAAAGCCGTTTGTGATGTCACAAACAAGAAAAGTAGACTACCTAGCTCTATTCCAAGCCCCTCCCAGATATTGGAGCATCTCAGTGTATTGCAGCCAATCAGGAGATGGGTGGGCGTGGCCAGCTCCAGCTTGTTTTCTTAAAGCGACAGGGCGCTGAAACAACTCGTTGTGGAAGGTGCTGGAAATGTCAAGAGTAAAACTTCTGAAATTGTTTCATGGGAGAGGGATTTACTGCGGAGAACTTGATAAACATGCTTCGTATTGACTACTACTGCTATAGGATTATTTTAACTTTTTATACCTAAAAGGTCATAATATGTCCCCTTTAACTTTTTATAATGGGCAAATGAGCAAGTACAGAGTTGGGATTATGTTTCTGTCGTGGCGATCTTGTCAAAGTAAAACATCTACAAGTCCTTCTCAAAACATTTGCATATTGTGATAAAGTTCATTATTGTCTGTAATGTACTGATAAACATTAGACTTTCATATATATTAGATTCATCACACACAACTGAAGTAGTTCAAGTCTTTTATTGTTTCTAATATTGATGATTTTGGCATACAGCTCATGAAAACCCAAAATTCCTATCTCCAAAAATTAGCATATTTCATCCGACCAGTAAAAGAAAAGTGTTTTTAATACAAAAAAAAGTCAACCTTGAAATAATTATGTTCAGTTATGCACTCAATACTTGGTCGGGAATCCTTTTGCAGAAATGACTGCTTCAATGCGACGTGGCATGAAGGCAATCAGCCTGTGGCACTGCTGAGGTGTTATGGAGGCCCAGGATGCTTCGATAGCAGCCTTAAGCTCATCCAGAGTGTTGGGTCTAGCATCTCTCAACTTTCTCTACACAATGTCCCACAAATTCTCCATGGGGTTCAGGTCAGGAGAGCTGGCAGGCCAATTGAGCACAGTAATACCATGGTCAGTAAACCATTTACCAGTGGTTTTGGCACTGTGAGCAGGTGCCAGGTCATGCTGAAAAATGAAATCTTCATTTCCATAAAGCTTGTCAGCAGATGGAAGCATGAAGTGCTCCAAAATCTCCTGATAGCTAGCTGCATTGACCCTACCCTTAATAAAACACAGTGGACCAACACCAGCAGCTGGCATGGCACCCCAGACCATCACTGACTGTGGGTACTTGACACTGGACTTCAGGCATTTTGGCATTTCCCTCTGCCCAGTCTTCCTCCAGACTCTGGCAACTTGATTTCCGAATGACATGCAAAATTTGCTGTCATCTGAAAAAAGTACTTTGGACCACTGAGCAACAGTCCAGTGCTGCTTCTCTGTAGCCCAGGTCAGGCGCTTCTGCCGCTGTTTCTTGTTCAAAAGTTGCTTGACCTGGGGAATGCAGCACCTGTAGCCCATTTCCTGCACACGCCTGTACACGGTGGCTCTGGATGTTTCCACTCCAGACTCCGTCCACTGCTTCCGCAGGTCCCCAAAGGTCTGGAATCGGTCCTTCTCCACAATCTTCCTCAGGGTCCGGTCACCTCTTCTCGTTGTGCAGCGTCTTCTGCCACACTTTTTCCTTCCCACAGACTTCCCACTGAGGTGCCTTGATACAGCACTCTGGGAACAGCCTATTCGTTCAGAAATTTCTTTCTGTGTCTTACCCTCTTGCTTGAGGGTGTCAATGATGGCCTTCTGGACAGCAGTCAGGTCGGTAGTCTTTCCCATGATTGCGGTTCTGAGTAATGAACCAAGCTGGGAGTTTTTAAAAGCCTCAGGAATCTTTTGCAGGTGTTTAGAGTTAATTAGTTGATTCAGATGATTAGGTTAATAGCTTGTTTAGAGGACCTTTTCATGATATGCTAATTTTTGGAGATAGGAGTTTTGGGTTTTCATGAGCAAACATGAAATTATCTTGTCTTCAATATTAGAAACAATGAAAGGCTTGAACTACTTCAGTTGTTTGTAATGAATCTAATATATATGAAAGTCTAATGTTTATCAGTACATTACAGAAAATAATGAACTTTATCACTATATGCTAATTTTTGGAGAAGGACCTTATTGGCTCAGTGTGTTAGTGAAACAAGAGGCTATTTTTTCCATGGTGTAGTGTTCACCTCTCACTGCCCTGCACTAAATGATTTCATTGTCTAATTCAAATATTTAAAGGATTTTGTTTAAAAGGGAGCAGAATCTAACCTCTTTGCTGTTTGACACAGTCTGTAATAAACTTAAATCAATAAATTCTTTAAAAAATATATAAATGTCCTTCAAAAAATATGTCATTCATCTTATTACAACAGGAAAGCATCATAAGTTTCTGGGTTTGTGACACGTTGCTTCTATTAATGTGCTCTTATTTGTTTTTCCATCAGTCATGAATCTGGACCGTGTGGAGAACCTGACCTATGTACGTCAGCGTTTTCCTCGTTACCACGCCACCATGTTTCGTGGTCAGACTTTGTGGGACCCCTACACCCATGTGACGCTGCCCCCTGCTGCCCTGATTGCACGACAGCAGCAACACAACTGGAAGGAGAAAGAGCGGATAGAGAAAGAACGTAAGAACAGACACAAGAAGAATTTAAACGAGAAAGATTAAGAGCGAATTTCCTCACGCTGGCCTTTTGATCTCAGCTTCAGCCCCTCATAGTGCTGCCTCAGCCCCCATCAGTGCCTCAACCAATCACACGAAAGAATACACTGCAGCCAGGCGCAGCGCCTCACTGCCTGAGACACCCTTCACTATCGTCATCCTGCTGATCTACCGAAGCCTGGGTGCTGCCCTGCCTCCCAAGTACCATGCAGACCGGAGAGGAGTAAGGTGGGAATTAGTCGCCTTAAAAAACCCTGATCACGTCCAATCCCTGAACTCCCACTGAACTGTGCAGACTGGATGTAGAAATCTGGAGTTGTTAACTTTCTGAACTTAAGGAAACAGAAAAAAAAGTTACAAATTTTAAAATAAATTGTAGTTTTTAGAAGCTGAAATAAAGAAAGTGTACGTTTTGCATGATTCTACATAAATGCAAGGAATGATTGCCTGACCCAGCTGTTTGTAAAGAAACTGCTTGAGGACTAATTTCAGTGTTATCTGTTTTTTTCTTCTTTTCATCAAACCGTGCTTCTGCTGTGTCTCACCTCACCTCTGGGTTTAATTACCAAATAACAAGCTGCCTGTTCTTTCAGCTGGCATGAATAGAAAAACCATTTATATCTAATCTGTTATGCAAGTCTCCATCTTCTTCCTGCTGTGTCTTATTTTCATATCAGAATATGAAACGTCCTTATCCTTATCGTGATTACTTCCTGTCTCTCCTGCAGACTTCCCAGACACCCGGTTATGAACTCCCCAGTAGTGACTGTCGCCATCTACAGCAACCAGACGTTTGTTGACGGTCACTTGGACCAGCCCATCCAGTTGGAGTTCAAACTGCTGGAGACGGCCAACCGCAGCAAGCCTCTGTGTGTGCAGTGGAATCACAGCAGTCCGTGAGTGCACGTCGACACACGCATACACGATAAATAATGTGCATTAAGTTGATGTGTAGACTTAAAAAAAACGTTTTTTGTATGAAATATTGTGAAGTAGTTGGAAGACTGCAGCATCCGTCATGTCAACGCTGTTATAATTCAAAATGAGAAACAACCAGCGAATAAGAGAGGCAGATTGAACGTCTCGGACAAACGGGTTTTGCGGGTCAGGGTTAGGGTTTGTATCAAAACAGACTCTGATGGTCACAGCTGTGATTTTGTACATTTCTGTGGTGTTCTGTGTAGGATTCATGACCATTTACAAAAACCCTTCAACTCTAGTTTGGATATGAGTACTCTGAGCAAAGTCTTTTGGAGTTTGAGTGTGCGGTCTCTGTACTTTTGAGAGAAAAGGGTACCAGTGAGAGGCTCAGCAGGTGAAAGGTGACAGAATACCTGTTTTGATTTGTATCTGAACTGAAAACATAAAGGTCTGAATGTTTTGGACCAGAGGTCTGCAACCTGTGGCTTTTTGAATCTTCGACAAGAAGGCCACGTCCACTATTGCAGCTTTACGGGACCTTCGTAGCACGCGCGTCTCCCATGGTGTCTCTATATCATTTCAAAAGGCCCAGTAACGTTGCTGGGCAGGTGACTCATGCTGATTGGTTGTAACTCGGACTGCACTAAACAACTGGCATTTGTAAAATTAGAAGAGTTACTGGTGAAGCGCAATGGAAGGAAAAGAAAAGTAGCAGAGTTGATGCTGATTAGAAATTGTTGTTTCTAAACTGCCACTGGTGAACAACGTCTTGGAAACCGCCGTCCTCTACGCTGCATCGTGGTCTCCTTCAGAGCGCTGAAAAACGGTTGTCTTTCAATCTGTCTCCACTAGAAACTGGACAGTGCTAGGACCAATCAGAACAATGAACATGACATATTCATCGCCAAGTAAATCAGCCAATGAGGCACTACGCCATAAAATAAAGAAAAAGAATATGTGAATGCATCCTTTTTCAAAATGAAGGACTGAAGTAATCCTATCTGCTCATGCCTCAAAAAAAGGCTCGTCTAAAGTTGATGCCAAAGCCGTTTCAAAAGAGCGTTGTTCTTGTGCCGACGCCATCATTGTAGTTTTTTCTCTATTGTGCTGAACTTGCCCAACATCTCTCTACAAACAGAGCACAGTGATTGGCCTGACCTCAAACTGTTCAGGCCAAGAGTAGACCTGCTGAGGCTACAATGGAGCATCCTGCAGAGCTAAATCTAGATTAGAGACGTCTCCCATTGTTTGTGATTTTTTATCTTTATACAATGTTCACAGAACCACAAACAGGTTATTTAAGACTGCCCTTTGGGTTGTCCTAAATACATGTAGCATTTTTCTTTTGTCATCCTCCTTACCCTTTCTTTTCTGCAGACCTGACAGAGTGTGAGCAATAACGATGGCACAGTCTGAAGTGTCCACTGCAGAACGCCTCCAAACCCCGATGCTCCAAACTCAGCAACAGGGCCGAGAGACACACAGCTTGATGTGCATCGCCTAAACTAAAAGTGTCAAGGCTGAACGTTTCCTTCAGACTAATTGTTAAACACATAGCAAGGGTGCTCCCATGTTTATTTAGCACAGCAAATAAACAAACCTGCCTTTTTTTTACCTTTTCAAACACACTCATTGGATGTCGCCGGGTTTCTCACGAGTCTCTTATGTCCTTTTTTAAAATATTGTCTTTCATTGAAAGCCCTTCTTTTTGCAGGCATGAGATGGGAGGCTGCTGGACGGTGAGGGACTGCATAGTGGTGTACAGGAACACCTCTCATGTCCGCTGTCAGTGCCAGAGACTTGGCACCTTCGGCGTGCTGATGGACAGCTCCCAGAGAGAGGTCAGCCACCAATCAGACACTCGATTCAAATCATAATAACTTTTTAATATTTTTATTTATTTACTTTTTTTTCTTAAAACCTAACATGTGCATCAACTGCTGCTGTGTGCTACTGCTGCACCCTCTCTTTTTATTTTGCTGGAAGAGGGCTACAGAAAGTCTCGTTAAATCTCAGGGAGATTTCCACAGATTACTGCAACCCTCAGTCTGCAGCATCAGACATTCAGACAGCAAACCTGCAAATGCACGTAGACTCAGTAACTAAACCACGGTTCACGCAAAATTTAGTTTCCTGAAATGTTTTTGGTTTTTCCTCTACGTTAAAACTGTAGAAGGGAGTTTTTGGATCTGTGCTGTGCTGTAAATGAAACCTGGTCTATGCACTGGCAGTGAAGAACCGATGTCACGCTTTGACTCTGGTTTCCACTGACAGACTGATTCTTGTAGTAGACTTGGTTTTTCTTCTAGTTTTTGAACCATCTAAACTCATACAATTTGTACTTCAGGACTGTAACAGCTGCACGTCTCTTTATTTCTCCCTCTCCTTCATTCTCTCTCTTTTTTCTGCGAGCAGCAGTTGGAAGGGGATCTGGAGACGTTGGCCCTGGTGACGTACTCCTCCCTGTGCGTCTCCATGCTGGCCCTCCTCCTCACTGTCCTGGTGCTGTCCTGTCTCCGGGGCCTCAAGTCCAACACGAGGAGCATCCACTCCAACACAGCAGCTGCCATGTTTTTGTCCGAGCTGGTGTTTTTGCTCGGGGTCAATCAGACCGAACAGCAGGTAAAAGCGTTGTGCGTGTGTGTGTGTGTGTGTGTGTGTGTGTGTGTGTGTGTGTGTGTGTGTGTGTGTGTGTGTGTGTGTGTGTGTGTGTGTGTGTGTGTGTTTTGAGAGAGAGAAAGGGAAAGAGAGAAAAAGAAAGACAGACAGAAAGAGATGGAGGAAGCAGAGGGACAGGAAGGGAAAGAGGGAGGAGGGAGAGAGAGAGAATTGGGGAGAGAGAGGAAGGAAGAGAGGGAGAGGTGGGAAGGAGACAGGGAAAGAGAAAAAGACAGGGAGGGAGAGGGAGGGAGAGGGAGGGTGCGAGAAGAGGAGAAAGACAGACAGATAGGGGGGATGCAGAGAGACAGGGAGGGAGAGGGAGTAGGGAGAAGTGGGATAGAGAAAGAAAGAGAAAAGGGAAATAGAGAGAGGGGGTGAGAGAGACATACAGAGGGAAAGAGTGATTGTATTTTTGCAGGCAACTTTCTTTTCTTTCTGTCGTTCATTCAGAGTTCCACCTTTCATTGTAAACAAAGAGATGCTCAAATAAATGACAGATGGTTTTCAAACATCACTAAATTTTTAATCCTTATTATTTTGAAAGCATCAGAACAAACCTATTACATCTGAATGTAGGCCAAGTTTCTGTTTCCTTTTTCCTTCATCACATCATTTTACAGGGCAGTAGCTTTAGCAAACACTGTGGTGCAAATATGTGTTCACTCAACATAAAATCCATGTAATGAGGCCAGATCCCCCGTGCAGCCAACTCTTACAGTGGGTAACTTCTGTCTGAACAATATGTTCTGTAATTCATGTGCATCATGCTCTAGGAAGCATGTTAGCACTCACAGCTGTTGTATTACTTTCACTTCTTTCTCCTCCTTGAACCTTATCGTGGTGCATGGCTGTGTGTGTGTGGAAAGTGTTAGCGTGTTGTGTGTGGGAGTGTGAAATTCAGCGTCTGGCTGTATGGCTGCTGGTTTTTTTTTTATGTCATCTTTAGCCTTTGTTAAGAATTTCTCTTGAGCTTATTTTAACCTCAAAATCAAATGTGCCTGATTTCTTTATCTTGATGCTATGATGCTATGAGATAGACGTATTTATGAAGTAGAGAGAATGAAAGGGAAAACACAGATTGTATGTTCTACCTCGTTTCTTTTAGCTATTATTTTTTGTGTGTTTTATTTTGCATTATTTGTTTTCTCCTTTCATTAATATAAGAAGAATAAAATGTATTATGTGTGCATATTTGTTTTCTCTCCACTTTTTGCCAAAGCTAAATCAGTAAACCAGGTCAGACAGTTTTTTTAAACTATAATAACTTTGTTGTCATTTGTATTTATTTTGGTTAAGGGGAACAGATATAAGTTTAGCTTCTTTCTGTTCCTTTTTCATTTTTTGTTGTCGCAAACCTGTTTTGTGTTTTGTTTTTAATTGTGAATAAATGAAAATAAACTTAAAAAAATGTTATTACCCCCAAACGAATTGTAACACCCTTGGAGGTAACAACAAAATCCAGACCCTAACCGTCATACTACCACCACCGTGCCTGACTGCTGGTAGGAAGTAACTGATGCAGTGTTTGCTTTACACTATAAGGGGCAGAAAGTTCCACCTTTGCTAATAAATCCTCACAATATTTTTCAAAAAGTCTTGGGAATTCACCAAATTTTTTTTGCTAATTTGAATTATTTTATATCAGCGAAAGCTGTTTTCTTAGAGGGAGGAGCAATAGCCATTCACATTTCTAAATATCCTTCTCTTCTGCTTCATGAGGTTAAGTTGTGGACTCTAGTTTTAACACAATGTGCTAATCATAATTAATTCATGACATAACGATGACAACATTATTTTATCACATGGAGGCACATTGGTTCTGATTACTTTTTCCCTCAAGAATGGAAGTCATAGTTTGACACTTCCAGCAGATTTGTAGAGCAAATTATTAAAACTCCCAAACTTATTTGCCAAGTTTTCTCTGTATCTTAGTTTTTTCCCCCACAAACACTTTGAGAGGATTAGAGCCTCACTTGGTGCTGTAACTTGACTTTGAGGAAACCAAAGCAGACATGAATCTGTGCAGCTCCAGGGGAATTTTCTCACATAGCTTAAATGCTTGTTTTGCATTATTCATGTGGAAATTCAGCATTACTGCCATAGCAAACCACAGTCTTAGTGAAAATCATTCAGAAACTTTTTTTTGTAGTTTTAAACAATAATTAGAATTTTTCTGATATAAACTGAAAAGTCCTGAACAGACTTCATTTATTCAGTTAAACCAAAGAGGAATCCTTTTTGAAAACTGTAAAATATTTCATAAGTTTAACACATTTGCTTCTGCAGCTATGGTATTCTCCCATGTGAGGGATATATTGTAATATACATCTGTGAATTTAAGATTGAAGCTGTTATTGATCATTTAATCCTTTCTGCTGACTGCATTCATACATTTTTTCCAAATCTATATTTTGTACATGTATTGGAATTCAGTGACTTTTAAACATTAAACCATGATAAAGTATTGCTATACTGCAAACTGTATAACAGAGCAAAAGCTAATTATTTAAAAACAGTTTAATTAGTCAGATATTGGTTATTTAAGTCGTGAACAACAAATGTTTTTTTTTTCCTTTAAAACCATTAAAATCAACCCTGGTTAGACGGTGTGCACAAAGGCTTAAGTTTCTCCTCTTTCCTTTCAACCTTACTTTTAACCTCTCTGTTTTTCCTTAACATAACATGTGTCTTGCTTCTTGTTCTGCTCTCAACAAAATGATCTTTGCCTTTTTTTTAAATCTGTTCTGTTAACTCTGCGTCCTGTGTTCCTGCAGTTTCTTTGCACGGTCGTCGCCATCCTGCTGCATTACTTCTTCATGTCCATGTTTGCTTGGATGTTCGTGGAGGGCCTTCACATCTACCGAATGCAGACCGAGCAGCGAAACATCAACTACGGAGCCATGAGGTTCTACTACGCCATCGGCTGGGGCGTGCCGGCCATCATCACAGGTATAGCGTTCACATGGAAACCGAGAAGCTTGCCGACAGGCAGAGCAGGCAATTGCTTGAGTCCCCCCCAGTCCACGAGGGGGCCCCAGGAGGCTGACAAATGTTAAAGTCACATCTTTAACAACAGTGAGACAGTGGAAAGCGGTCGTGCAACAGCACTGTTGGCCGTCTCATGCTCCTCCTGCAAAACTGCTCCACTACACATTTCCTCATTTGTACAACACCCACCCCCGCTCAGAGATATTTTGCCCAAGAATTGAGCCACTAACCCCGTCCTGGCAAACCCTGGTCTGTAGCAAAAAACAGCACTTTTGTCTTGGAGCCCCATGACAAGCCTTGCAGCACCACTTCATGGAAGCCTGGCTCTGCTTCAGACAATCCCATCCACAGACATGCATTTATGAAAAAACACTGTCTCACACAGCATCTGCGGGGTTGTATCCTTAACACACACACACACACACACACACACACACACACACACACACACACACACACACACACACACACACACACACACACAGTGAGTGTGGCTCGGAAGATAAGCCACACTAAAAAGGTTTCAGTGACACTTTTAATATTGAGATAGTAGAGCAGAGATTCACATGCAGGCAATAACTGCCATGAGGCATTGGCAAGTAATATCTGTCTGCTCACCTCACACACACACACACACACACACACACACACACGTGCACACAGTCTCTACACAGACCAATAACATTCTGTCAGCTCTCCTCTATCTGCTGTTAATGTGGCTGACAAATTCAGAAGCTGTCGTCTCCCTTTGCTTCAAGAACAGATCTGTCTCCACTTAAACATGCACACACACACACACACACACACACACACACACACACACACACACACACACACACACACACACACACACACGTCTTTAGCGAGATGTGAAAATCTGTCTCTTTATTTAGATTTTTCATGACTCTCATTGTAAAACTCCTTATTCCAACACATTTTAAAACCTTGTCAGTGATGTCTAGACAAGGATAAACCTTTGAGCGATCGTTCCCAGCTCTGCTCCCAAATCAAATCAGCACCTGCTAATAAGTTGGCATGAAAAAAAATCTGAAACATTTGATTTTTTTGTCACTCTCTAAGTTCAAACTTTCATGATGACTTCATTTGTTGGTAGATGTTTACGGTTCTTGTTGACAACAGTGGCTGGTTTCGCTGTCTCTGTGTGTCCTCTGCAGGTCTGGCTGTGGGTTTGGACCCTGAGGGTTATGGGAACCCAGACTTTTGTTGGATCTCCATGTATGATAAACTCATCTGGAGCTTCGCTGGCCCCGTCGCTATTGTCATACTGGTAACTGTCTGATATCCTGGTGAACTCTTTATGCTCACTAACCCAAATAAAATATAGTGCAAGCTGCAACATGATAAACAACATAAAGCTGGTGCATAAAATGTAATTTTGCTTGATTAGTTTCAGTAAAGTCATTAAAATTCTCTACTAAACGCATCTGTACACGATTTCTGCAGTCTGTAGCCAGACTCTACTAAACGCAGCAGACTTCCAACATAAGTGGCAGCTCTTCAAAATCATTTCAGAGAGAGAGAGACTTGACCAGTTTTAATTGTGACCTCATTGTGTGACACCTTTCACTTTGAAGAATCACTTCAGCACACGTTATACAGATCCGTCTGTTGCACCTTTCCTATATCAGTCAGACACAAACGCTGGCTTCTGATTGGTTCTCATAATTTATTTAATTGGAGAAAACACTATTTTATCCACATTGGTTTTGTTTTGGTGCTGCATAGTGGGGCAGTTGGTAACACTGTTGCATCACAAGATTGCTGGTTCAATTCCCAGCTGTACTTCAGCATCCTCCTGCAGTCCACAATCAAGCATGTCAGGATAACTGAAGACTCTAAAATATACATAGGGACTTATACACACCAGCGCCTTGCAGTTCTACTGAAGAATAAGTGTTTGAGATGAAGAGTGAGAGGTTTTTGTTTCATTTGTTTATTAATGTTCCCAACAACATTTTTTTTTATCATTTGCATTAACTTCTATCCAGATGAATGGAGGGATCTTCATGATTGTTGCCAAGATGTCCTGTAATCCGTCTCAGAAAGAGACGAAGAAACTCCCCGTCATGTAAGTTCTAATTTCAACCCTCTTTACAAAACTTAACAGCATTTTTTAGGTTTGGGCTTTTCTTAATGGAAGTATAGTACTTTCCCCACCTTTCTAGTATTGTACAAACTATCTGCCATTACTACAAATACTCAATTGAAAATATCTACATTTAGGCTATAGGAAGACACAAACCAATAGCAGCCCAGAATGTCTGAAAACAATAAAGCACACTGTCACGTTGAGGGGATGGTTAGGACCCAAAATGCAGATTACCCACACGACAAGAGGCAGGAGTTGATATAAAGTAAAAATCCTTTTATTGCAGGATGAACAAAAGTAAATCCAAAAGGCAGCGAGCCAAAAATCCAAAAGGACACCGAAAGCTCACATGGAGCACAAAAGCTGAGAACTAGACTAAAGCTCACTAAGAGCACAAAAACCTGAGACAAGACACAAAGCTCACACAGAGCACCAAAAACAACGCTGACAAACAACAATGGACCGACAAGACACCGAGACAAGACAGGGCTTAAATACACTGGGGCACAATGGGAGGCAGATGAGCTGCAGGTGTGTGGGGAGAGGACCAGGTGAAAGCAATGACTAATCAGGGAGGGAACTCACATGACCTAAGAGTAAAACCTAAAAACAAGAAAAGCAACCACATAACTAATATTCTATAAAGACTGGTGGGACAAAACATACTAAAGAGACTAATAAAATGAAAAGCTGAAACTATAAACACTGCAGAGGGGTGACTGGAGAAGACAGGTCCTGAGAGATGTATCTGGAGGGCTGAAGACCAGGGGACACATGAGGAACACAAAGACACAGACCATGACACATACTCATTCAGAAGTTTTGGGTAAAATTAAATTGATGCATTGGTCTATTATCTGTATCATTATGTTGTTTGTTTCTCGTCTAACTTCACTGAAACAGGGCTCCACCTTGGTTGATTACGTTCTTTTACTGGTGTGGTCTGCAGTTCGACTGCTGCTGATTCACCTCTGGGTAAAAGGGACATATTGGGTTACTACTCCCTCTATTAATACTCTAAATGTAAAAAATATCTTGTTTCATGTTGGTGTTTGGTTTTAGGAATTATGTGCCTAAAATTGGCCATTTCAAAAGGTACCTGTTTGTGATGTCACAAATGGGGAAAGTAGCATAGAGCCACCTCTCAACCTGGAGGAGAGCAGCTGCTGGAGCAGCTCTACTCTATGGACCCTACCAGATATAAGAGCTTCTAAGGTTATAGCAGCCACTCAGGGGATGAGTAGGTGTGGCCTGATTCAGCTTGTTTTATTAAAGTGACAGAGCCCTGAAACGGCTCGTTCTGGAAGGTACTGAAACTGTCAAGAATAAAACTGCTGAAATACCTTTATGTGGGAGGGATTTTATGCAAAGAACTCCAACAACATGTTTTATAGACTATAGGACTATAGCTTAAGAAAAAACACATATAATGCC